TAGCGATAAAAAAGTGGTTCAGTTATAGCAAAAACGAGTGTGCTAAATTTATGTCGATCACTTTATACAAATGCTTAGATAAGTATCAGAAATAAGCACAATTGATTTATTGTTTAATTGCAAATTGTTATAAAATATAGAGCACTAGAGGTCCTAATACTAAGCCTCTGACTATCTTTTATTACTTCAACTACAAAGGATTACCAATCTAACATTTTCTCTATTTCAAGATTAGCACACTTTTGTCATCCTAACAACGGTACTCTTGAATGGTTACTTAATTGAAATCACTTAATAGATATCTTTTGTAAAGTTTTCAAGTAAAGTTTTTAACAAATCCGAATCATATAGCTGATGACATAACTAGAGTAGGATGCTTAAAAATTTCAAGTCTCTCTTCAATATCATCCTGTGGTTATACCATTACTCATAAGTTGACTGCTTTTATAATTCAATTAGATCTTAACTGGCTCAGTTACTTGGAAGGTTAGCTTTATCACATTCGTATACTGCGCTGTTGAAAAGTTCAATAGTTCGTCGTTGTGCAGTAAGTTGGAATAATGAAACAAAGTAAAGAGAAAAATGAATACTTCAAACAAAAATAAACAAATATACACAATGTCTTGTTAAATAAATTGTCTATTATCGGAACAGAAGGATTATGTCTTAAAATTCAATAGTCACCGAGCTTTGCGGCTCTTTGGTTTCGAATAGATTTGTGTCGTCTAACAAAATGTTTTGAGATATTGATATTCATGAAGTGATGCCAGTTTTTCAATAACGTTAGTTTTTTAAATTACGAATGCTTACTTTTACAGTATCGTCAATCAAACAACGAGAAATGATTGAGTGCATTATTGTGCAGAGAGAATATTAATCAGGTTTTTTTTCTTTTTGTCTTTCGAAGCAAAAAAAGTTCTCCACTTTTCGAATGTGAAGAGAAAAATAGATTGACACTACTGCTATGTTTTATTATTGTTTGATCACTGCGAAAGGATGGTGAACGTAACTATTTGATTTTGCAAGCAAACCTCCATTACTGATGTATGTATAACGACAGAACGCATAAGAGTGCCGATCAGTGCAGATGAAATTTTCTCCACTATTTGTACATCAATATTTTTAGACCGCAATCAACATTTTCTAGTAGTATCAAACTTTAAAATTGAATTTAATTATTGTACTACTATTTGAGCTAAGCAATGGCCAACGGCTAAAAGATAAGACTTCTCTCCAATATCCTCACAGGTCAACACAGGGAAACCCATTGGACCTGAGGAGGCTAAACATTTGAGAAAGTTTTATGGATCTCATTCTGGCGTTATACTGGCTATCTCAAAATATTAGGCATAGGGTTGGAAGTGCGTTTGTAAATCTTCTTCTAACCCACACCCTCAAAGTGCTCTATTGATATATTACTCTTAGAAAAAATATTCTCAATCGAACATCATGAAAAGTGAATTCTGAATGAAGAGTAATAAAAATTTATATTTATGTTTCGTTTGTTTAAACTCAACCTAACAACAAAGTTTCTTGATGACCAATGTCCATTTCAAATCAAACAATGTGAACAAAATATATGTTGATATTTATTCATATTTAATTTAGACATCCATGAAACTATGTTCTGTACATAAAAACTTCTTATATTAGAGTAGAGGAATAAAAACAAAAGCAATTATATAATGATTGTTTATTTCGCGTTAATGATAATAATTGAAATAAAAGTATAAATTAATATATAGCCAAACATTTATTATTAGAATATTTGTCATTAGAGAAAGTGAATTGAACATATCAGAAACTATTAGAAAAACAAAATTTACTTTGAGAGATAGAAGAAAAACACATCGAAAACTATTTAAATTGGTAAGTCCATTGTTTTGTTGTCGGAATTTTGTTGATTATTTGTATGTTGAACATGTAACCATTTGGATGGTATAAGAAAATAAGATAAATCCATCAAAGAGTGTTTAATTGATGAATAAATATGTGAAAAAGTTAGAATTGGTCGAATTTGATATAAGTATTGTATTTGAATATAAGCACTGTTATTTCCATCATAATATTCATTACTATTTGTATCAATTATAGTATCATCCGTATAGTATTGTGATTCAGAATTTTGTCTCTTGATGAATTTTAAACTAAATAAATTGATAAATATTTTAAAATATATTGAACAAATGATATTTACGCGAAATAACCGAAAATAATTAAACTCATAGTAAACATGACAAATATAGAAATAATACCAATGATAAAAAAGGCTTGGCCAACAACTATAATATCTGTTCAAATAATATAATTTTGAATTATATAATAAACAACAACAACATTAGGTATAGTTCATACTTTCATTTTCGGTATTCTCCGCGACAATCCGACTTTGAAACATTAGAAGAACCATAATGAATATTTTAAAAGGCATGTTTTCTTATTGAATACCAACTGTAGAATGTTGGCGTTTCTATAAAGTGTTGTTTTATATAAAAGAAAATGTTGCTCTAGCTTTCTATTTCAAGATATCTGTTTACCTGGTAGCAAATAACATCATTTTTAATATCATCATAAGAGCATATGCTGATTATATCATATACATATCACAATTAATTGCTTGTAAATAGAATAAGATATACTGTCAACAACAAGTTATTTATTATATGATAATGAATTTATATGAACTAGTTTAAAGAAAAGAATCTTTTGAGTTATAACTCATAGATAGGTCTTGCTCTAGGCTAAATGTCATACGTAGTAATCAATAGTTATACGAAAAATTCATTTTAAACATATTTCAATGATAGAAAAAATATATATATACGCAACTAAGATATAATCAATACTTCAAGGTTTAATAAAACAGCGAAAATTATTTTTCTTTCAGTTTGTTTTCGACTTGAGTGAGTATTCTATGTGGCGGAGATTCGCATGAGATGAGATGGAACATCATATTCATCAAATAGGTTTCAGCACAGTAAAATTTATTGATACATTCATCTGTTTGGATAATCATACAAAATATTATATTACTTAAGACAATCCAAAAGTAGTGACAAAGGTATTTTATTTCCGTAGAGAAATCTTGATGAAACTTTTTCTTTGCATGTAATGATAATAAAAACAATGCACTATTTTTCTATAATATTTAATCATTCTTGAACTAATATTATAATAATAAAATTTCGATTAACAGCTGTCGTTTATGCTATGTGACGGTTATATTGAGCGATATTGTGTTGAATATATATTCTCATTTTGCTCTTTTCTTTGTGAACTTGGCTCTGGTATTCTCTTCTCTCACACTCACGTCCATCCTTCAATCAGATGGATCAGATTGAGATTCAATAACAGACGATGATAAATCTTCGGAAAATATTTTATCAGTCATTGCTAACACTTGAATCAAATCACTGTTTGCAATTATTTAAACAGACACTGTTAACCTTTTATTTATTTATTCATTCACTGATTATTATTTATTCATTTTGCTATATTCTAATGGCTACAATGCATAACCATTAACAGAATAGAACAAAATTTTCTTTTTCATTTTTCCGTTGAAGTAGACAAGAACGCTATCTATATGAAAAAAAATATTAATATCTTTCGTGCTAAAAAAGTCTGTATATAAGTGGCTGTATGTTTCATAGGATGGGATAATTTCTCAAAATTTCTGTCTCATTCTATCTTATCAGACACTTATCAAATAACTTACGACCTATTCGTCTTATCCCATGCGAATTTTTGCTATTCATACTCTTTGCTTCAAGTTTTGATGAATATCATTACAAAAGTTTGAAAATCAATGAGGTCGCTGTTCGACGCTGAGCTATAAAATTGTGTTATGACAGAGTTTTCTTCATAAAATACGATTGGATCATTTCCCCTCACGTATTAGGACCACTGCAATTATTCTATTAATGTATTCGTGAAATAAACACATCTGATTTTTCTGCTTCACGCAAAGAAAAACTACATCGTTCACCCCATCGATTCGTCTCTAATTTGTTTGTTGTTGTCCTTGCTATCGATTTTGTCATTTTATACTCAAATTAAGCATGAAATTTATTGAATCAGTCCAATTCGAGCTACATCAATAGTATAGTTCATACATAATTTGTTTTATTTTTTAGCATTACTATGCCAAAAGATACAATCTTATTTGAACGAAATAGGGTTACTATTAAAGAGAAATCACCACAAAGTGAAACACGTGCAACACCACTTGATGAAATAACTGGAACAATAACAGTTATAGAAAATGACCGTGGAAAATTTTTTCGTTTTGTACCATTAGGTCTTGAAGATGTTATGACAGATGATTGGGCACTTATTAATGGTGGCCATTCAATTGTGTGCGATAAAAATGATGGAGGTTTCTAGTTTTTATTCTTTGAAAATCAAGATGTTTTTTCAATATCTTATTAGATTCTGTAGCAGCATCATCTAGTCCACTATTGAAATTTCGTTTTCATTTTAATTTAAATGATTTACGAAGTGTTCGTCGACATCATATGGTTCATGGTATAGCTCATATGGTATTTATTCTTAAAGATGGTACAACATTACCAGCATTTTATTTTAACCATGGTGGAAGTAAAGAACTTTTACAAAAACTTGCTCAATATTTACCACTTGAGAAGTAAAATAAATGAATTTGTTTCTTTAATTATTATTTGAAATGAAATTTTTATATTTATTTAAAGATCAACACAAGATACTCGTTTATATATTGTTAAAGATGATCTTCAACGAGAAAACTCTTCACAATCAATCAGTGCTTTTGATCAACTTAATTTATTTGACAATTCCAATGATATTATGAAACGATTTGTATTTGAAAAAAGAAACAGATCTAAGAAATCAATTTTTTTATAAAAGTTTTTTTGTTTCTAGCAAGGAAATGATTCTCGTCGAACAGCAATTGAACGTTTTTCTCGTGTGACAAATTTTCTTAAAGATACATTTCTTGGTCAAAATGAATTAATATCAACAACAGAAAATTCAGATAGAAAATTTGAATGTGATGCAACTGCTCTTATGGAATCATTTAATGGTGATTTTAGAGAATCAAATAATGATGGTTTTGAAGTGATTTACAAGGTTAAAATGATTCTTTAAATTTCTTAATTGAATATTACATTTTTTTTTAATAATTTAGGTGGATTTTAAAAAATTACCTGATGTGGCACGTGGTCAACCGTTAACAGTAAAAGAATGGCAAATGTCATTTGATAAAGATGGACGTATAATTGATGTTAAAAAATTAAAAGAACGAATATTTCGTGGTGGTTTAGAATCAAACGTATTAAGACGCGACGTATGGAAGTTTTTATTAAATTATTATCCTTGGTCATCAACACGTGATGAACGTATAGAATTAGCTAAGCAACGAAAATCAGAATATCATACAATGAAAGTGCAATGGAAATCAATAAATGAACAACAAAAACAAAAAAATAATTTATTCCGTGATCGAGGATCATTAATTGGTATATAAAAAATAATCTCTTTATTCATTTATGAATTATTAGGATGCATTTCAGAACTAGAATCTGTTAAGTTTTCTGAAAGAAAAATGTAAATGTAATTGAAAAGCTGTTAGTACAAGTCATGTGAGAATAGAATACTAAATCTGATAGAATTGTTGGTGTCACTAAAAAAAAACGTATTAATCAATATATATATTTTAGTTTATTAATGTTTATCTATTGTTCATGCATATCGATGTTACATTAATGCCCCTTGTAAATCATGTTTCACAAAGTCACCAACTTTTATTTAAGCATTGACTATTCTAGTTCATAGTAACAAATAACTTGAAGTCTCATACGATTTGAATCAGGTTATTTAATATTACTTTGACTTTTGCTTAGGAAAAGTTGAATTTTATTATTATATGTATAAAAAAAGAATAATCTGCAGTAACTCAAATAAATTTTGAAATCAAGAAAGAGAGTTGCGATTTATACAGTTGAAAAGAGAAGAGTTGTAAGCATCGAACTATATAAGAAACATAATATGTAAAAACATTTTTAGAAGGAAATTGAAAAACCAAGGTTTTCGAAGTTCTCATAATGCCTTGATTCTAAATACACCACTTATTTTTATTTTTATTTTTCGAAAATCTTCCAAAAAATTATCATTCGACACTACAGCTCGTCAATTATCAATAAGTATAAACGAATGCAAAGGTAGTCTTTGATTAATATTAAGAACTATTGGAGATGACTTCTTTTCCAGAGATTTATTCAAACGTCTAAATTAGTTTAAAAAAATCAATACTCATCTTTGTTCTTCTTATTTAGTGTTCAAATAAATATCGGGATAATATTATAAATTATTATAAGAATATTTTCCTTATGAGAAAAGCATAATTAAAAGCACTAAAATCTTCATATAACTATTTCTATCTATTTGTTTTTGAATATTTTAGAAAAAGATGTAACACGGACTGATCGAACACATGAATATTTTCAAGGAGAAAATAATGTTCATGTCAAAGTACTTTATGATATATTAATGACTTATAATATGTACAATTTTGATTTGGGTAAATCATAATGAAATCATTACGTTTTATAAGAAAAAAGAAAGTTTTGTATTTAATCTATTTAGGTTATGTACAAGGTATGAATGATTTATTAAGTCCAATATTGGTGATAATGGACGATGAAGTTGATGCATTTTGGTGTTTTGTTGGATTAATGTCACGAATGGAACAAAATTTTCATATGGACCAATTGCATATAAAATCTCAACTTAGTAATCTACATACACTTCTTCAATTTATTGATGCTGAACTTGCAAAATATTTGGGTAAAATAAAAATAAAAATAGAATTCATTGTTTAATTAAATATGTATTTTAATTTTAATAGTTGAAAATAATGCTAATAATATGTATTTCTTCTTTCGATGGATGTTAATTTGTTTTAAACGTGAATTTTCATTTGATGATGTTATGTATTTATGGGAGGTAATAGAAATATAATTAATTAATTAAATAAATTATTTAATATTAACATAAATCTAGGTCATATGGACAGATCATATATGTCGAAATTTTGAATTACTTATTTGTTTGGCTATATTAATTTCACAAAAAACAGTAATTATGGAGTCAAAATTTGGTTGCACTGAAATTTTAAAAGTATGTGCTTTTTGTTTAAATTTGAATTCTAATATGCTCTTCTTTAACTATTATTAATATTAGTCTTTTACGTTTATTGCTCCTACTTTTTCTGAGTACTAAATTAAGTATACATACGTTCTCATATCCATCAGTTTTTATGTCAAGTTACATCGAAACTTTTATTACAACAAGCTGAAATTTTTTTTGTCATAGTTCTGAAACAAGATGGCCAAAATAAAACAGGTTTTCCATCATCAATATCGATGATGGTTTTTTCAGATAAAAATAAAGACTTGAATACAAAATCAAGAATATCATCAAATAACAATGAGTAAAAACTCCTATTCGATGTTGTAATAAATTTTATTTAATCAAAGTCATAGTACTTTATTATTAGATATACAAAAAAAGTAAAAAGCCAATATTGAACAAGTTATTTCAAATATAGTTTTTTTTATTTATTTTATTAATCTTAACTTTTGTACATAACTCATTCTATTTGGGTACAAAGAAAAGAAGAAGAAAAAAGAATCTTATAATAATTGTATCTTCTTGGTGCGTTTGAAGATCTGTTTGCTCTAGATACGTTATTTCTTTTCTATGCTAGAGAAATATTTGTGTTTTGTATACTGATAATGAATGAAAACAACAAGCACTATTTGAGACTTGATTCAACGAATGATGATCAAGATAAACATTTAGAAAATAAAACACAACGACTTTTCAAAAGTTGTTTTTTGCTCCTCATCAAAAACAACATATTTGAATATGCTGTAGATACAAAGTTCAATCCTATTGATAACATAAACTTCGTCCTAGAAACAAGCAGACACAACTTCAATGACAATGAATTCATTGCTTGGTCATCTTGATGCAAGAAAAAACCCATAAAAATTTTTCTTTTCCATCATAATTTTCAGAACGAAATAGAATCATTTACGAATGATTTGAATTGATATCAATATAAGAACAGACTTAAAAATGATCATTATGGATTGTAGATGACGTAGCTACGCCCCAATCAAATATTATATATAGGTAGATTATTTTAAAGACAAATTATTTCTTTATAAATTCATTCTAATTTGATTTACAATTGTATAAGTTTTTTTTAATGTTTATTTATTTAGTTTTTCAATGATTTGTCCTGTAATCTCGACTTGGATACGTGTCTTCTATCAGCCGAAAAACTTTATATTCAATTAGCTACACATCGTGATATTCCCACATCCATCGCTAAAATTCTTGGTCTTCCAACTGGTCCTAATCAACAATATCTATCAACTGTAGAAAATGCCACCTATCCACGTAAAATTTATACCGAACAACCACGTGGTACGATGAATTTAGATAATTCATATTTTCGTCAAGAATCTGAACCATCATTGGTTCCTGTTCAACATGAGACGACAGAAGCAGCACTTAATGACTTTTTACAATGACATCATTTATGGAATTTCAAGAATAAAACGGACGCGTTTTTTCTAGCTTTACTCTTTTGTATAAAATGATTATTTTTTTTTCTTTTGTTTCTATTAACTCTCTAGAAATTTCTTTTTCTCATGGTCGTTTTGTCTTTTATTGCAAATGAAAATATATGTAACATAATGATTTATATCATGTTTGTTTTAGAGATTTTAGATAAAATTTGTTTTTGCATTAATTAATAATTTTCTTTTGTTTTTTCTTTTTGCGAATTCGTTATGCAAGAACAATGAATCGAAGTATCTCTTTTAAAGTTGTTTTACTTGGCGAGGGTAGTGTTGGCAAGGTAAGATATAATAGAATTACAATATTAATTAAAAACTTTTATCTTTATTGCTGTTTTTCTTTTTTGATTAGACATCGATTGTCCTACGGTACACAGATAATTTATTTAATGATAAACATATCGAAACACAACAAGTGAATTCATCATTTTTATATTAATTATTTTTAGTGTCATATTTCTTTTAGGCGTCTTTTAAAACTAAAAAATTGAATTTAGATGGGCGTCGTGTTGAATTATCCATTTGGGTAAGTAAAACATTTGGATTATATAAATTTCGGCTCGAGCTCAAATTTCTCTCATTAATTTCCCTAAAAATTCAATATCCTATAAAAAGTTGGATAACTTCATGGTTTACACAAGGACAACATAGCACTGAGCAATCTGCTTCAATTCTATTAGATTTTATAACTGCACTTTGATCTAAATGCGTCCTGCTGATAAGTATTTTTTAATGAAAATGAATACTGCTAAGCACTATATAGTCCTGCCAAATACTAACGAGGAAATTTTCGCAGCTGCTTTCTTCTTATTTCAATTACTCTTTTTTGCCGATAAATACTACATAGTGATCTAATAATAACACTAAAAGGATTTTGATTCTTCTGAAGATTTAATTAAGCTATGGAAATTTGATCTGATACTTGGTGCATATAGAGAAATCAACTAGACTAGCTTTCATAAAAATATTCAAAAGTTTTCAACGAAGTCTCCTCGACATCAGCGGCGGATCTAGGATTTTTTTGATAAGGGGCGATTTGATAGATATGGGGCGATTTTGACCAAAAATCGAGTTTTGAAGTTCATTAGTAGTATTATGCACTCTATTTTTAAGTCTTTTCTGCTGGGAAAAATCGAAAATTTTTTTTTCGAATGGGGGCGATCGCCCCAAGCGCCCCCATAAATCCGCCACTGCTCGACATATGAAATTTTCAAATATCGTCTCTTTTGCATGAATATCGTGCCTTTGTTACAAGCTTCATATTTTAAAGAGATTTTGATGAAAACTTCTGAATTTTTTTAAGGAATGAATCTATTTTCAAAAGTAATATTGTTTTCTATTATTTAGGATACTGCAGGGCAAGAGCGATTTCGAGCACTAGGGTATTGTGCTAATTATTTCTAAAATGAATATTCACATAACTTTTTAATTTATTTAGTCCATTATACTATCGTGAAGCTAATGGTGCCATATTAGTTTTTGATATTACTGATGACGATTCATTCAATCAAGTATGATAATTCAATGAAATAAAAAAACCCAATAAAAGCTGTTCTATTCTCTAAAGGTTAAAAGTTGGGTTAAAGAATTAAAACGAATGTTAGGCGATGATGTTGCTTTATGTATTGTTGAAAACAAAATTGATCTTGAAAAAGATCGTCAGGTATCAAGACAAACAGCTGAAGAATATGCAAAATCAGTCAATGCTAAACTTTATCATACATCAGCTAAATTAAACAAAGGAATTGAAGAACTTTTTAATGATTTAGCGAATCGTTAGTTTTATGAAATAGAAAGAAAATAATTGATAGAAAAGTTTTAATATCATTTTGTTTTTTCTAGGTATGCTGGAAAAAGTCGGATCAACTTCAACTACTTTCAATACAAGTGGAATTCTTCGACAAACTGGTATTCCTATTCAACCAACATCGACGAAGGAACAGACTCATGGAACGACAGGTCGAACGTGTTGTTAATGATTTTATTTATTCCAATTTATATGACAAATCAAAACAAATGAAAAATTTATTTTTATTTTTATTTTTTCATGCTATGCTTTTTATTATTAATCTGTGTTTATGTGTGAAGAATATTTTTATGTTGCATTTCTGTCTGTTTAATTCAATTGAATTGTGCTAACAGTCAGTTACAAATGTTCCAATAAGTTTAAATTACCAATGTAATCATTTGAAGCAATATATAAAGTCGTTTTTTTTTGTTTTGCTAGTTACTTTTAATAAACACAATAATAGTCGTTTATGCTATATTGATGAAACCATTAATTGCTTAACTTTTATTGCCATAAGTTATTCATATTATTAGTTTGTATGAAATCATCGAATTGATGACGTTCATGTTTTCTCAAGAGAAGCAAATGAAAAGAATGGTTTTTATATGATTATTTCTCATGAATACTTTTTATTATCAAAACAAATGTCATCATTGTTAGGTTTTATTCTTGTTAAAGGGTTTTCAAACCATTGTCAAGATTCCATAAGGAATAAAAATCCTTGCATTTTTATACCAAGTCTAAAATATTTTTAAAAGTGAACTTTGTTAATTAGCATAATATTTATGTATAACTGTAAAACAAAACAATTTTAATCATACATAACTTGCTTTCGAATACAAAACTTTTCAAAAGGACTTAATAGAATGCAGAAATCTAAAAATAGAGTGTTTACGTTACAGTTTTTCATTATTATCAAAGACTTGTATACAAACGCGAGTGATATCCAATATTAGATTGTTGATTACATTAAGTGTCAATTGTCGTACTATTGTTATTTCTTATCGTTAGATTGATTATATTCGTTCGTGCCCACAAACTAAAATATAATGCGGAACCGTATCGCAATATTACTGAGTAAACAAGTATGAAAACCATTTTAAGACCAATAACAATCGAACATGAAAATCTTTTGGTATTTGTAATACAATCATAGAGTACTTTTTTTTGCTTCAATGAAAATAATATTCATGAAAGATCATAGGCTTATGCATCACAACATGTCTAATTACTCTAGTGACATGTACGCTTTTCTTGATCTGATATAGATTTTTTTGATCGGAAATCACTATCATTGTTATTCTCGATAATGAAGATAGAAACAACTGTTACTCTGTGCAAAAAAAAAAGAAAAATAATATGCATATATATCATCAACAAAATGGTTTATATTGCCAGAATTATCCCATAATTTTGATGGTTCAATATACAGCTCCATAAGTCATTAGTCACACTCTATTGTCCTTCAATATATACAAAATATTAATAAACATATTGAACTGTTTCTGCATTGCTAATTTGTTGACTTCCATCCTGATAGAACATATATAGCTTAAATAATGTTCAATATACTATTCTATATAATTTGATTGTTCTATATGATTTCATCCGGCGATATTAATCTTCTTTTCACTTGCTTTAAATATTGATTCAAACAAGAAGAACATATTATTCGAACTAATGACCATTCAGTATAAAAATCTGTTAAAATGACAATATAAATAAAACTAAAACGATACCATTTTCTTGATTTATGTTTAATTTCTAAAAGAAAACTTGATATTAACATCTTCAAGAAATCAATGACACAGTTTGAAAGTTGACGAAAGTAAATGAATATGAATGAAACGAGAATTTAAGTCTTGTAAATGCTTTTTTATTGACTATGAGTATTCTGTAGACATAGAACTGGTCTAAAGATAAAATAACAATGAAGTTACTGTTTTTTTTTCTATCAATCAGATAAACGAAAGCCTATGGAAAAATAAAAAACTTTGATACAAGCTGAAACTATGAATACATTATACTTATTTAGCATATAATTCTATAAAACATTTGTTGCAACTAGCAATAAATACATGTTACTTTTCTAACATTGTTGATCTAGAATTTAGTATTGTTCAAGCTTTATGAAAACAAACTAAAAGTACACATGTACTTCAACAATGATATATTGTAATCATAATTGAACATCTTTCACAAAACCTTTCACATCAATTTGAAAGAACAAGACATTGTCCGTCACATGTTTTGATTTATTGTTGTCACTTCTGTCATGAGATTTTTATCTGAGTTTTACGCCATTACAATGAACAATTATGAAGATATAAAATCTTGTCGGAGAGTAAAGAAAATATATTGCATATAGAGTACGAAAAAAATATTTTTAATGTGAATGTAAATATTCAAATACAAGAAAGAAGAATACGGAGATAGCTCTCCAAACCTTGAAAAGATTATCGTTTTTCTTCAGTAGTTTAGCAAAACTTGTCTAATTGACCCCTTTCTCGAGCCTTGACGACCTCGGAACAACCTTGAAAGAATATTATCGTTTGGATAAATAAATCTTTCAAGTAATGTTTATTAATGAATTAGATTTACACTTTTTGATTGGCAATAATAAGTGTAGGAAAAAAAAAGTTGTTATTTATTATAAATAGATTCATATTTTATCAAATTGATTCAGTAATACTTTTCATATGAAACGTAGTTCTTTTTAACAAAAATACAATGAAACTAATCCTAATTTGTCTGAATAATATGTTCAAGTTTTGATTTGATGATGTAAGAGTTGCCATTAGCGTTTTTTCTCGACAACAATTCTCATTAGATATTGATTATGGCACGGATATCTAAATGTATATGATGTCTTATTCTATGTATTTGACCTTTCTATTAGTGTACATGAGTTCAATCATGTGAATAAAAGCGTTCTATGAACAAGGTGACGAGAGCTAAAGAGAATTTCTTCGGTCGTTGATGTCAAATGGGTCAATAGATAAATATGCACATATATGAAAGACTATGAGTTGGATTTCTCTCGTCTTTATGTTTAAACGTCAAATAGTTCACCTATTTCTGTCATCTTCTTCTTTTTTTTTCTTTTTTTTTTCTTCCTCCTTTTTCATCTCCTTCATACGGTGATGTCTCTGTTTCATCGTCAACTCTTCGTTCTTTGTAAGGAAAGAAAGAAAAAAAAATGCGGAATGAGTAAATGTGTATGTAAAGGAGGTAACTAGTCATTATTTATTGTAATCGAAAGACAGAACGAGACGTAGATGTATGTATGTATTTATGTGTGTTACCACTTTTTTTTCTTGCGTCAGGTCAACCACACCGTACTTTTTTTCTTGCAAATGTCTGACTGAAAGTAAGATTTGTAATAGTAATAGAAATAATAGTGATTAATGCCGACGAATTTTTTTGTATGATCTATGTATACAAAGAGATCGACGAGGTGTATTGCACACAATAATTTTATGCATATTCATAGTAACCATGCTCAGTATCATGCTATTTACTCGAATAACATATATAAGTAGAAAAAGAAAAAAAACAGGAACAAAACCAAGGATTTTATTATTCGACAAGTCATAAAATGAGTTTTTTACGTTTTAGTATATCATATTTTGTTGTTAATCGTATGAATATAAAATGTTTCCTCAATATACTCAACGTAAGTAGAAAATGATATGTTCATACTATATGTAAATCATTATAAAAATTGTAGGAAATATGGCGGGTGAAATTGCCATATGGCTTCTAATCACTGTCGGCGCTCTTCTCATTCCCATTATTGTAGTCGCCATTTGTTGTATTCGTCATCAGTAAGTGCTCATGCAATATATCATTGATAATTTTTCCTTTATTTATACTCTGTGTTTTTATCGGTCATCATATGACCGTAGTCCATAAAAATTCTATAAACATAGAAGTTGATTAAAACAAAAATAAATGTAACAAATGTTATGTTTTGCAGATATCGAAGCTATTTTTCCCGTACAGTCCTCGTAAGTCTTTTTTTCTTTTCTTTTTGGACACTTTCAAAAAAAAATTTTCGGGAAAATATTTTCGTATTATTTTCTCTCAAATATCTGCTTGATAAAGCCTAAATAAACACAGCTGCTTACGTTTTCTATTTCTTGCTCCTCTTGATCGATAATCTGTGCGTGATTGCTTCTTCATTTTACACGTGTATTAATACACAAAAATAATGCATTCATTCACAGCTGCTGGAAAACAATTCCTGCTCGTCACCCACAATCTTCTCTTGAAAAAATTACTAACCATGATGAACTACTAACAACCAATTCGACTTCATGGATACAACGCGTGTGGGATCTGTATGTACGTGTATTGAGTCTAAAAAATAAATCTATACAATTATACATGTTAAAATTTGATATTTGTCGATCAATATTTATTTATATTTGGTGTAGGTGTTTTAGTTGTGCTTTATGATGTTCACATATTTCTTATTTCTAAATGCACATTGATTTATTTGTTTATTTTTTTTTTCGTAGTCTTATTTTGATATCAATTTTAATCTTTTCTTTTTATTTTATTTATATTTCAGCTTGGTAAGAAACCCATCCATAAAACTAATGGAAAGTCGATCCACACATATAACGACGATGAATATCAAACAGCGGGCGGCTCTACGGTATATTTTAATAAATTAATTTTTTTTGTATTATGTTTGTCTTCTTGTGTCTTCAATATTTAGTTCGTATAATGGTCCGTATGTGGAGTCGGGTAATGATGAGCGATTTATATTGTCCCATAATAAAACTCCTCAAACATTGTCACATACTAATTCAATTAATAAAAAACAACATGTTCATTGGCCTCATGAATCAACATCACCAAAAGGTGATGATTTACGTTCAATTAAAGATCGACAATTTACACCACGAAAACAACCATTTTCTGGAGGAGATAATTTTAATACTACGATGCTTAGTGAATCTCCATCAAGTCACCGTCGTCTCGCTGTTATACCCACTCCATCTTCGGCTCTTTCTCATCTCATTCAAACAGCTATTATTCCAGCTGGTTCCACCATTACTAATGCTAGTACAAGCCTACTGCTAACACCATCTAAACAACTGACACCTAATTTAGCTGGTTATAATAGCATTGTGTAAATCGTTTTGTTCAAGTTCTTTTGTACACTATATCAGTTAAAATTGTCGTGTTTTTAAGTATTTTTTGTTTGGCATATCTTAAAGCGAGTTTTCTTTTGCTTTTTTGTGCATAATCATTTTGCTGTGCTTTGGTTTTTTGTATACGTTAAATGTTAAAATAGACTAGTAATGTTCGAGGAAAAAGGAAGAGCGTTTCTTCAATGAAACGACGGTTAACAAATAATTACGACAGTTAAACTTGAGCCTTGAAAATGATTTCTTCCTTCAAATCATTTATTTGTTCGTAAAACATAGTTTTTTTTTTCGAACATGAAACCTATACGAATGCGACATTAATAGCTCTCTTTGAATATTACTTTAAAAGATAAACAGTATTATGTCTTTTGTTGATTTCATTAATCTACTTCTAAGGAATATATTTTTTTTGACTATTTACACAACCTGAAAAGTTATTGATAAAATTAATCAATTATATTCGTCACCTCGAAACATGATTGACCGTTATAGCTGAGTGCCTGAGTAATTCGATAGATATGTTCAAGGTAGCTTGTTCAAACCTCAGTATTAACAGCCATGGAATAACTGTGGACAACTCACTAACGGCTGTTTATCTTGGATCACGCGTCCGAATGCATATTAACTACGTGTAATATATACCTGCTCTTATGATTAGTTACTATGTATGGAAAGTTCAAGTGATATAATGTAAAAATCCTGCGTCAGACTTGGCTGCTGTTCAGGGCTACAGTTTGCAGTAGTTGCAGAGAAAATATAAGATTCCAGAATATGCCACTATACAGCACCCTATATCGCAACGTAATCGATAAGTAGAGGGATTCGTCCCTCTTCATGGAACCTGATATTCTTCAAATAGCAAATCATACAATTAATTCCTATTTCTCATGTAAAGGGAAGCGCAAAAGTTGAAATCACTTTTTTAAAAATACATTATTCAATGCAAAATTGAACGTGCTACAGTTTAGTTTTTTGTTTTTTAAACAACTGATTATAATTATTTAATATTATTAATTACTAAATACAGAAACATTTTGTTTTCTTATGAATTTTGTATACTGTTAGAAAGAGTATTGAAATCTGAACAACATTATACTTTTGTTTCTCAATAACTCTTTGTAACAAAATTGTTCTTTTTCAACAATAATTCAAATGTATTTAATACTCTACTAATAATAACGAAAACTGTGTTCTAATCATAGACTTGAGAAATTCAAAAAAGTAGTACATTTTTGAGAGCAGCTTTGGTTTCATCAAATGAGATCTGTTACTCTTCTTTGCAGCCTGTTCTGCATCTGATACAGCATTTAGAAAATCTTAAGGTGTGGAGCAAGCGAAAAAATAGCTGAAAATCATCGTTGAAATAAGTGATCAAAAATAAGAAAGTTACACCAGATAAGAGACACACGATCAAGAAAAGTGCCATATCTCATATGATAGAACAAAATCTGCTCTACAAAATGTACTATTTTTCAAAGTTGTGAACTATATGATTAGACCACAGTTTTCTTAATTATAATATCACTCAGATTTTGATGCCATTTTTAACAGTATACAGAATTTATAGCATAAAGTCTTTAATTAATAATTATTAATATCAAATTATTATAACAAAGAGTTTTTCCAAAATTTTCATACCAAAATCTGGTCTGTTCAATTCTGTATTTCATAGTATATTTTTGAAAACTATCTTAATTTTTCTCTGCTAGAGAAAACTGGAAATTCCATTTTCTTCACGTAGCAAGCAATGAATAAATGATGCAAATGTGTTGAAGAAAATGTCACACTCTGTTAGAACATCTGTCAACTTCTAAAGCAATGGGTTTTTTTGTTGAAAGGTGTGATGTCCGAACTACAAGTTTTGTATGAGACATATTGTTTCAGAATAAATCTAAAAAGGAGAACACTCCAAAAAACCGAAGATCTTTTACAGAGTTCTTTCAGCTTCACCATCGTGCAATATCAGTTTTCTGTTTCTGTTACAACTTCTTATACCAGAAATGAAATGAAATGGAAATCCATATTTAATGGCGATCTTTGTAGCGTAAATAGTGCTCTTCTCAATGATGTATCAGAAGTTAAATTTACTTTTGGTTTTATATCGAAATATAGCTTCTTCTACAATAAGATCAATCAAGTCGGTTATTCTTACTACTAGCTGGCTACTTTGCAACGATAAAAAAATGATTTTTGAAATATTTTCTATGCTAACTTTATTGCATAATTTCTGAAGATGGTGGCTGATGTTCTTGCAAACGGACATATCGTGAAGAAGATTGTATTTTACATAAATTTTATTTTTGAAACTTTTTTGATTAAAGAGTCCGAAACTGCTCTAATGAATTTTAACAATACTTATATCGATAGGATTTTGATGCGCTATATTTTGGTGTATTTTTATTCCAATGTGATACATTCATATAATTAAAAATTATTCAGAAATACAGACAGACTTTTCAAGTTAGAACAATGTTGTAAGAATTTTTTCAGAAGTGTTTGGACTCGGGTTTTTCCTTCCTGTTGGATTCATTGTACAAAAACATGTCTGGCAAAAAAAGTTGTAGTTCAAACATAGCTCTTTCGTAACAAAAAATCTCTTGATTTAGAAGTCAGCAACGTGTGGTATATCACTGTTTGATATTTTTCCAAAGACTTTTGCATCGCCTATTAGACAATTTTAAAATCTATGAAAATATATTATTTCTTTTTTAATAAAGTGAATTTCTTTTAATAACATATTTGTAAAATTTCTTTAAGTCATTAAGGCATTGTTCGTTAGTTTTATCGATAAGAATTCATGACAAACAATTAATTAATTGTATTCTCTTTTTGTTCATTCCTAAGGAAAAAATATCGTATGAAATTTAATTGAACATCATTATGAAATCACACAGCAACCGTTTTTCTTTGATGATGCCTTTTCATTATTTGATGGACGAATAGGTCTGTCAAATGTAATGGATTGGTCAGGTCCGACAGGAACAGTAGGTGGTTGTGAATGATCCATAGATACTGTTTCTGAGGATGATTTTCCCATTGCTGATGATGAATCCATTTGTTTAGGCATTTTCTTTTGATAAATACTTGTAACAAGCAAAACAAATGCCTGTTCAACATTCGATGCGTTCAATGCCGATGTTTCCATGTATGATAAATTAAGCTGTTCGGCAAGAGCTGTTGCTTGTTCACGTGATACTTTACGTTGATCAACTAAATCTGATTTATTTCCAACAAGAACAATTGGTAGATCAGATGGCGTATGTCGATGAACTTCTTCAATCCAAGTTGTTATATGATCAAATGAATCAGGTTTAGTCAAATCAAATACAGCTAATGCACCTTCACTACCACGATAAAATTGTGGTATAACTGTTTTAAAGCGTTCTTGACCTGCTGTATCCTATTATGAGAAATGCGGCAAAATATAAATAAATTTATACGCAGTAATGAACAAAAGCCTCTACCCTGGAGGATCTGAACCATATTAAATGCTAGAGTTTTCAAAATTTGTGTGCACGCACTTTATCAAGAGTGTAGATCAGAGATACATATTTGCTTCTATTGCCTAAGTAAAAAGAGAATTATGAGAGATGACAATGGATGGTGCTTATAATGTTTTTGAATTTCACAATTGCGAAAAAGACGAACTTCCTAGATCAGTTAATGGATCATTATGTCACGCTGTATTCCAACTATCGTCATAACTAATTTCATTAGAGTTCATCAGCTATCTCTCGTACTATCACTGCTGATGTAATGAAAAATCATCCGATGTCCCTTTTGAGACGAGAACACAGTAGAAATTCAGAAAATAATGCACAAGATCTTCTAGAAGATAGCTGGGCGGCAAAATTCCATGGGGACAATATCTTTTATGCTTTTACAGTTATCACTGAGATCTGCCCGTGGACTTCAAATGACCTTAAATGACCAGTGTTCTTTGGAGTGATGTCCTCGTTAGAAATGCTACATCTACAGTTGAATATTAGTATGTAGAAATTTCTTAAACAAAATATGTACTGATGGGAAATGGCATAAATATGACTATCGTGTTGATGAGACTGAGCCCCAGTTCTATTCTCTTGGCCAAGTATGTGCACAAAAATTCTGAAACCTCCAGCATTTATAATTGTTTGAGAGCCTCCACAGTGGACACTTTTATCCACTATTGTATATATACCCAAACTTGAGTTTTAATTTTTTTTCCGTCAATGACAAGTTGTTTATAAGCGAATTCCACTCCAATTGTTGATTGAGTATCAAGACGAAATTCATTACGAGTAAAACGTAATAAAAGATTACTCTTAATAAAAGAAAGTTTTAATATAACTACAAAAAATTGCAAATTGATTAATCATACCTTTCCAACAGAGCTATCACCTATAAGAACTAATTTAAAAATAAAATCATAATCAGATGCTCCAGCAGAAGTTCGCGCCATATTCGTCTTTTAATAGAAAGAAGAGTTGTATGTGTGTTTGATTTCAATAAGTCACAAATAGAAAAAGAATATGCCTCCACATACCACCTAACATGCACACGTTTCACCTTTTTTTCATCCGAAATTATCTTATCAGGCACAGTGTCTATTGTAGAAAAGAGCAAAAGTAAAAAGAAAAGAAAACTTTAAGTTATTACAACATTTTGCACTTTATTCTTAGTCAAGATAGAGAAAACTGATATATCATATGATTCAGACATATATATCAAATGAATTTGCTTCCGTTTGATAATATTCAAATAAAAAAAAACATCTTCTTATAGGAATATTGAAATAGAAATAATTACTATACTGTATTACTTCAATACGTAGTTTAAATGTCGGCTAAAATATTTAAATTTTATTTTCAGCAATAAATATGCTTGCCGTTAAATAAATATATCTCAATCCGCTGAAAATCAGAGAAAAATCGATTTACATTTCTCGTTGGAATTTAAGTTAAACTGGTGTCAACTATAATTCTTTTGTGTGAGCTGCCTTATATGTCTATTATGCAGAAAAGTGCATTGTTCGTATAATTGATGTATTGAATAGAACATATCTAAATTTTTGTCAAAATGGATTATTTCAGAAAAAAATCTGAGAGGTTTGCCCAGGTTTACCTTTTTCACAATGCAGCCCCTTGTATATATCCTACAATAATTATCAATATGTTAGCCAATATGTATTTTTCAACAAACATATGATCATTAAAAGAAAACTCCATCGTATTTTTTTAAAAGGTTTCCCTGAATAGTGATATAAAATAGCTCATGCTGAAAGTCGCTTTACCATAATCGTTATTTGTTCATTTTATTTAAATGAATCATAAAGCTCAGAGATGCCCATAGAGGCACTAGCGCTACCACGGCGGCATTGGCACATACTTCAAAAATTCATCCCGACAGTGACAGCTCATCTTTTTCAGCCATAGCAGTGCGGCAAGTTTTTCAAAAAATGTCTTTTTTGTTTCTTCAGATTTTTGAAGTACTTAGAGAATGACTTTCTTTCATAATTTAGATTAATCAGAGTCTTTTTCTTCAAAAACCACATCTTGTGGTGTTAGAAGCCTAGCGAAAGTTATTGATGCTTCCGTTTCAGATCCTAAACGGATTCAATTAAGATTCTCGAAGGATTTGCTCTTTTTGCTAGAGGAATCGCAAAGAGAATGAGAATACTTGAAATTCCGAAATCTAGACAATATTAGAAATAGAACTATGGAACTGTAAAATCACTTTTTTGGTTCGAATCTATATTTCGGTTTGATCAAAACTATTTAGAGTGGAGATGACTGTAGAGTGTGACTGTGGATCATCTATTCGCACACCATACACCCTAAACCTATACCTACATCCAATGTGAATTGATATTGTCCTTCCTTTCAACTATAAAAACATTCATTGTAAAAGTGCCCGTGAAAAATTTAGTTTGAAAATAGATGAAATTGGAGCAGAGGTATCATATCTGGTAAAGCATTGAATGAAGTCTACAAATATTCCTGAACTTTGTTTATTGTTGGCTGCGATTGTTAGCCTTAGGTTTTCTACTAAGGAGAAAACACATATTTGAAGTCTTCTTTCTAAGCTAACGCTGGACTGTTTGTCTATATAAATCCCTTTATTGCTACACCATTTAAAAATAGGCATGCCTATTATTTTCTAGGAACAATCTCAACAATTAGACGGCAGTGAAATTGGTCTAAGTTTATTCACTTCTGGGAGGAATCCAGTTCTTGATAGACAAATCATTTTAGCACGTTGATGTGTCTGAAGAACGTCTCCTGTTTCCGCAACTTTATTATTTGATATAGTAATAATTTGTAGTTATTCAGGCTGAAAATTGATGTAATACAAAAACAAACAACCCTTCATTATCCGTTGATTTTTTTGTGCTCATTTACCATTTTTTTCAACGTGTTCTAATGAGATGTTTTTTCATTGGAATATTCCATAATTGAGAGATAAATTCATATTTTTTTAATTCATTTCAATGAGCTAAGCTACAAGAGCCAAATGGTAGGCTTTCAAAATGTGTTTTGTAAAAATTTGCAAGAGTATCAGCAGTTAACTGAGGATTTTTTATCAAATCTGTAGTAGCAGTAAGATTTTTAAAGGTTGCTACATAAGAGTGAAGTGTTATCTTGACATAGCTCCATATGCTATTCCCCTGAGAGATTTAAAATATTGTATTGTTTATTTTTTATCGCAGAAATAATAATTTTTCATTTAAATGGATATTTCTCAAGGATATATAATTTTCTAGATCTTATTGTCTATATTGTTCATGCAATGTTATATTTCCTTGCTAGTTGTACGAGAAATGTTGGCCATGGTGGTCGCTACTTTTTTGACTCGTTTGTATTCAATCACTCGGTCTTACGTAAAAGAAACAGTCGAAAAGGAAGATTCAAACAAAGCATCAGCCTCAACAATATAAACAAGACAGTTGAAATGCGGGAAAAAAGCATTTGAGAAAAAGAGAGAATGTAATTCGGTTAATTTGTCGAAAAACATTGTCAACTTCGGTTGATAGAGATGCTTTGATCAAAATAGGATAGTGTTCAGACGACCATTCTTTTATACTTTCAACTGCCCAACTATAAGCATTATGTTTAATCCTAAAATCAGTCGCTGCAGAAGACCTTTTAGAAATTGATTACTTTTGGTAGATCATCTCACAACCAGTACTGCTCAGTCTACTTTCGAATTCAAATCTACTAGCATTAATTGGACTGCAAAGCCAATCACTATGTAAAGCTCATGTAAGTACGATGGCAAACGATAGTGTACGAACGTTTACGTTAGTTGTATACGAACCGGAATACAAACGATCATAATCGATGGATTAGGTTTATGACAGAAATAAAGAATACAAGCGGATCGTATTTGACTGTTTACGTATGTAAAGACACCGTAATCGAGCTGTATACGAAAACCGTAACAAAGCACTTGAGTGATAAAAATGAGATCAATATTTGCAATGACCGTTCATTTCGGAAAAAATACGATGCAATATGAAATATTTTCCATCAAAGATAAATTTGGTTTCTTACATTATGTTCAGTCAACACACTAACATAAAACGTGTCGTGATCTTTTGGCAAATCATTGCTTTGGTGTTTAGTTTTGCTCAGACAACGACATATAATCAAGGTGACGAAACATACTGAGCTTATTATTTTTTTTTTTACATGTTTTTTTTCTAGTTTATTTTTGATTAACATTATATCATTTTCCAAAACATTACTTATTTGCGTTTAACCTATTTGTAATTATCTTCAGTTCTGGATAGTGGATGGAGTTTATTCGAGATGCGACCAATATGACGAAATTGAAAATTCTTGACTTTCGATTTATTTTGATTAGCCTGAGTTATTTTTTATATTCAGGACTATTTCTAATCGCTAGTTAAGGAGTCAGTCTCTTCAGATTAGTTTGCTTTCAGCTTGTAATTCTTTCATTTCTTTCGTTAGTAATAAAGTCGGTGTTTAGTCAACAAGTATATTATTCATGTGTGCCTAATTATGGGCATCTGGCAAGCATTAAAAAAACACACTCTTTGAATGTAACAAACTATTTTATCGAATTCGTAGTAGCCAAAAATCTTAAATAAATAAAGAAAAGACGAATCTCTGGAAGAAAATTGACATTCAATTTTATTTTGTGTTATTCTTCAAGTGAAATTTTATACAAATAAAATACTATTTCACTTCCATTTCTCCGACACTAAAAAGTATCGAACTGAAACTTTTTTCACACATACTATTTAGCAGTTGTCACAAATTTTTGCATTAGTAAAAACACACAAGCGTTTTTTAGGGTACGTCTAGTATTTTAACTTTTTTATTGAACTTTAGCTCTATTCTTTAAGATGTATTTATCCTGAAAGTTTCAATTTTTTTTATAAGGCGTTCTCTAGAGACTTCAGAAGGATGAAGTACTCTTTCTTAAAGCTTTTAAAAACAAACGCACACTTTGATGATTTTTTTGAAACATCGAGTGTTTTTCAGACATCTAAACAGCTACTTTATTTAGCAATATTAAATATTGTTTGGATAATAATAAAAAGAAAACCAAGAAATAAGAGATTCAAAATGAAAACAAAATTACATTCTTAGTTCATTTATTGTATTGAAATTAAATTTTATATTAATTTCCTGCTTGATTTTTTGCTTCTAAATAAGCTTGTTTTTCAGCGTCAGTTAAACCTTCTTTTGGAGGATTTTCAACATGATGTAATTCGTATTTTCCACCTTGTACTTCAAGTAATAATTTTGCTTGAGCTGTTGAAAATAATTCAGCTGGTGGTTCAACATGTTTTAATGCAAAATCTTGCTTTGTTACTTCAGCTAGAAGAGCTTTTTGAGCTGATTCAATTGAATCGCTTGAAGACATTTTATTGAAAATAAACTATTAAGATTAATAATCTAAAATTAAAAGTATCAATTTTATTCATATATTATTATGTTACTTAAAAATGAATCGTTCATGATAGAACATTAATATAAACTTGGTTATTTTTACCTTTCATGTACAAAATCGAATTACATCAAACTGAAAACAAGCAGTGAGGATAATATTCATTGATTTCTAATAATATCCTAGTCTTTCATGTTTCAAAAAGTCTCAAATCTTTTATTTTATTTAGTTTCTATATAAATATGGAAAACGAGAAATAGACATATTATATACTGAATATAATCACTTAGACGTAGGTGGAAGTATTCTTTGAATGTAGTCCTTATCTACAAAGCGTTCGAAAGCTTCTGAAAGTATTTCCTACCTAGATTGAAATGCAAATCCTACGCAAAAATATGTTAATGCGAGAACCTGTTTTTATGAGAATTATGTCAAGACACCTTCATTAACATGATTCCTAGAACATTTTCATATTAAAAAAATATGAAAACTTTAACATTAAATTACCTGCATGTTTGTATTAAAATTTTAAAAAAATTGTGA